ACTGACTGACTGACTGACTGACTGACTGACTGACTGACTGACTGACTGACTGACTGACTGACTGACTGACTGACTGACTGACTGATTGTCCGTTAAACTAACCCAGTTTTACCAATTGAAGCGTGGATCTATCCTAGCGCTCAAGAGATCCCGAGATATCCGAATGATTGAACAAACATGGTAAGTGGATGTATTTCTCAGTCGGAGGCTCGAATTCAACAAACAACGAAAAAGCATGTAACGAATTCGTGAGATTATGGGCGAAGAAAAGATGCGTGTATATGAGAGATTGTAATCTACGATACATTCTTGAAATTTATTCACCAGAACAAGAATGGATGTAAAGCAAACTGCCACTTGGTTCATCTCAGTAATAAGATTTTCTTGCTGATTTTGGCTCACACAACTGAATGCGAACTGATTGGACAGCAGTTTGAGGGCCATTTAGATAAAATAAAACCATTACAACGAGACTGCGTAAATACAACGAAATCCAATCTTCCTTAATGGCCTTCGATCACAGACTACTACGGACTATAGGACTTCATCCAAAGTTATGAAGTAAGTACTTGTGACGACAATCACATCATAATCATCCTCACAGAGATCACCATCATTACCATCATCCTGACAATTCAGGGATGATGGATCGAAAATTAGATAAAGCGAATTCAATATGCTAGAAAAAAGGTTCGAAGAAAGATGAAAACAGAATGTTACGTTGTTTGCCCTTTGTGTAGAGGTTTTAGACGGGGGCAAATTTTTATTCTGAAAATTCTGATCAACTTTTAGGCAGAGAGGATATTCTCTTAGATGTGTGCACGTGCGCGTGTAAGTAGGCAACAATAAGACTGTGTATTTATATTTTCTCCCAATGATCATGTTTGCCACATAAGAAACACATATTTATCCACCTTGAAATTGGCCAAAGCTCCAGGAAGACTGGCCAGATTACTACCGAACGAATCGGTCCCGACAACCACATGCCATTTTTCTCCCAGCTGTTGATCCAGGGTCATTTTCAAATGTCTTGCCATACTTTCCAAATCATCTGTCGATCCAGATGCATCACGTGCCATTGTGTAGATCAAATTCAAATTTTTCGGTGACAAATGCGTGGCGCTGTTTTCCTCCGGAACCGAGGCATACTCAATTTCCAGTAGATC